TTTTCCTTGCCCTAACCGACTGAAACTCTTTTCACATGACAGGCTTCGGCGGGCACCCTCACTAGCTGCCTGCTGGACCCTGTCAGCTCTTCCAGCATGCTGCCCAGGCCATCTGCTAGGCACCACGGTGAGCCATATGGAACCTAGCCCCCACTTCTCTGGAAATGCCTGGCTTTTTCCTTCTGTGGGTTCTTTGCTTAGCTGTACTTCCCAGGCCGATGGAATGCAATGGTTGTGATAACAGTTCTCTTATCTTCCAGCCTTGGAAGGACAGTCAATGACTTAAATTTTATCAGGAGAACCTTTAGATGGTGCATCAACACTCATGGTAAGTAAGGACCAAACACTTCACTAAAAGCCCTGTGACATTTGTGACATAAGATAAATAATTCAGAAATCACAGTCCTATAATTCTTTCCTGCAACTGTCCCTGTTCTCTACAAAGGGAATAATGCTACATTTTCTTTGCTTCTTTCCTCTGATACTTTTAGCTGCAATTATCTTCCTCCAAGCTTGGAACAGCAGGAACAGCCATGCTGAGATGATTAGTTCTTAACTGTTGCAGGTTATTAGCTGCGCAGAAAATGATATGCAAACCAAGATATGGTTTGGCTCCTACTGTGATAATCTCAATGAGATTTACAAATATCAAGGAAATTTCTAAGCTCTCCTTAAAACTCATAGCAAAAACGCTTGTCTCTTCAAAGTAGGAGCTTAAATTAAAACTTAATCAGTTTTCAAAAATAACTTTTGAGGATTTTGTCTAAATAAATAAAAGTGTCGGGTTGCTTATTTAAAGCTACTTTTTAATAGAACAGGAAAATTTTTTTTTAATGGAACAGAGGTAAGAGGAAGCAATTTTTGCTGATTTTCAGCAAAATCATGAAGTGAGACAAGCGGGTTTTCAGCCGCCATAACATCTTTTCCATGCTTCTCGGTTTTTGTTCCCACCATGGCCCCAAGCCACTTCTAAATCATATTTTTCCTACCATAAGAAAAACTATATTAAAACACTAGGATGCGAGTATAAATTAATTAAAAAATGCCAGACCCTGAAGATAAACAAAGGACGTGCTTTACAAAAGCATTTCCGAGGAAGAAATAAGCAATTCACCTTCATTCTCATGGAGGAATGATTTTGCTCTTCTATTCATTTTCTCTTAAGCAGCGATTCTACCTCCATAAAAAACAAAACAAAACAAAACAAAAGCTCCTTTCCTTCCAGTCCTTTCCAGAACAGAGTCAACATACTTAAATTCCTGTTAGTTTTGTCTTTCCCAAAGCACTAACCATATATTGCCTCATAATATAGTTATCTGGGTCCTGCTTAATGAGCTCAGATAAAAAGCTCAATTAATTGCCTCTTTTTCTTTGCATGCCCAATTGCAGACCCAGTGCCTGGACCTACTAGATGTGTGATAAATGAATCTATGCTGAATGATCTTGAAAAGTCCAGCGTTTACTACAGAACAGAGAACTTGGCATGGACTAAAGGCATCTCTGGAGTTAATGGCCTCAAAGTTAGATCTTTCATTTGAACACAAAAGGGTTTCCTTATGTTTTTGTGGTTCTCAGCCGGTTTTTTTTTATGTTTATACGTGCTTTAGATTTTTAAGTTTTTGGTGACCCATTTTAAAGGATTAACAAAACAAATCAAGCTAAATAATTCAGCAACGAATACAACCTTAGCTATTATTTTGCAGTCAAGGGCTCAGGGCAAGCTCCCTGGGATGGCATAGGCAAGGGGGTGCTTGACCCCACCCCTTGCCCCATAATCTTCATCAGCATTCCCCTCTTGCTGCAAGCCATCCCAAACAACACACAGTTGAAATAAAAGATGGATCTAGCTATGCAAACTCAGTTTACATGTCTACTATCTTTTCCTTCTAAGCAGGCAGCCAACCTGCATAAGAAATTCAGTAGTCATCACTGGTTAATTTAATTTAATTTTTTTTATTATTATGTTCGATTAGCCAGCATATAGTACATCATTAGTTTTTGATGTAGTGTTCAGCGATTCATTAGTTGCGTATAACACCCAGTGCTCATCACAACACGTGCCCTCCTTAATGCCCATCACCCAGTTACCCCATCCCCCCAACCCCTTCCCTTCTGTAACCCTCAGTTTGTTTCCCAGAGTCCAGAGTCTCTCATGGTTTGTCTCCCTCTCTGATTTCTTCCCATTCAGTTTTCCCTCCTTCCCCTGTGGTCCTCCACACTATTCCTTATGTTCCATGTATGAGTGAAACCATATGACAATTGTCTTTCTCTGCTTGACTTATTTGACTCAGTATAATCCCCTCCAGTTCTGTCCATGTCAATGTAAACGTTACGATTTCATCTTTTTTGATGGCTGAGTAATATTCCACTGTGTATACGGACCACATCTTCTTTATCCATTCATCTGTTGAAGGACATCCCGGCTCCTTCCACAGTTTGGCTATTGTGGACATTGCTGCTATGAACATTGGGGTGCAGGTGCCCCTTCTTTTCACTATGTCTGTATCTTTGGGGTAAATGCCACTGGTTAATTTTAGATGCACTACCGCCTATTTACTAATGCCTTATCTGCCCTGCCCTAAGCTCTCCTATATATTCAAAAGGCAATATGCATGCTCGCGCATTCCACAAACATTCTTTCATGGCCCTGATGATCCTGCTTGCCTCTTACTCACTGCCAAGTACCCCTAGTCTACCCATATTACACGCTCAATGCAGTGTTCTGGTGGACAGCCATCGCTGTAACAGCATTAATAATTGTAGCAAATATGCGACAAAAGTGGGGAACCTGTGAAAGGTCCACAGTTCTCCACTGACTGAGCAGGACACAGAAGCCGGGTCAGCTACTGTGAAGAGGAGTCAGCTGGCATCTGAGACCCCCCTTCAGAACGGAATCCCTTCAATTTCCTTGTCTTGCTTCTTCACGTTCCCCCCTACTCAGGGGCAGATCCAGATCTTGTGGGCTTGAAACTTAGATAATTTGGGAGTTCTTTATGAAAAACAATAAAAATTACAAGTACAGAATTAGCTACAAAATAAATATTTATTTCAATTGAAAAAGACCACAACAAATGACACACTCTAAAAAGCTGACATATACCCCAAACATCACAAAACCTACAAAAATAATATAAGTTTTCAAATTAATTAAATGCTGGCTGCAACTTTGTAATAATAGTTTCCTACTACTTTGGGGCTGCCTACTCTCTGGTTACTTCTTTATATGACAAATGGCGAGATTTCTGGGCATTTCCATTTTACTCAAGCAGTGACCAATTTCAAATACTCTTGCATTGACAATACTTATTACCCAGTTAGCTGTCACTAACTGCTTTATAGTAGCATATTATGAATCTTATGTCATCTTAATCAGTGTTAGTCATTCCCTGTCAAATCAGCAAGAAATTTATCTTTTATCGGTGTGTTGATGTAATTTACTACTTTTTACTGATTTGCTCATCAAATAATCGAAAAGCTTACTCATTATTTCTTTTCAAAATTGATCTCTTAAGTATTTTAGTTAATTGTGGCTTTTGATATGATCTGAAATTTTACCGACTTTTTAATAAACTGTTGAAATTTTTTTCTGTCTTTGAACACATACTGTAGATTCTTTTTTTTTTTTTTGACAGAGAGAGAAAGAGAGAACACAAGTAGGCAGAGTGGCAGGTAGAGGGAGAGGGAGAAGCAGACTCCTCGCTGAGCAGGGAGCCCGGGACCCTGGGAACATGATCCCAGCCGAAGGCAGACAGTTAACCAACTGAGCCACCCGGTTGCCTCCATACTGTAGATTCTTGAAATATTATTGTTCCCATGCTCTATGTCTTGAAGAGCTTTCTAATGAGCGTATTATCTCACATCCAGGGTTGTTAAAGAAAGTCACACGCTGTTAAAGAAAAATCCAAGTCACACGTGTTTTTACAATGCTTAATCTACAAAACAAAAATGTGTTGCAAAATTTGAAGTAGTCAACAATCTCAGGTACTGCAGATAGTTTTTTTCCCCTCTGTCGTTGAGATTAAGTGAAAGAGCTGCATACCGCACACATTCTGCAATTAATCTTTAAAAGAGCACTTACAGCCATTTGTCTCTTCCAATGTCATATGCTAATCTCTATATTAAGTATTTTACGTGCATCACTTCTTTTTATTTCCACCGCTATCCTAGTAGTTGTGAATATAATAACTATTATCTCCATTTTACAGGTGAAACTGTGAGGCTTGAACATGTAGCTAGCAAATGACTGAACCAGAAGTCATGCTCAGAAACTCTGAATCTAGGGCTCAAGCTCTTATCTACTTACTGTCAGATTTCTTTCTTGCTTTCTTTGATTGCTATATTGATATATAAGTGAGAAGATTTGGAAGGAAGAAATGTTTGCCCTGAAATACCTGAAATATTGGTATTGCCTTAGCTTCAGGCTATGTATGGCAAGAAAAACATGTTTAGCACAGCTAAAAGGGTCCATATTTTCCCCACTCCTTGTTCTAATGATTTATTGGATTGTGGCCACCATTTTTAGCCTGAGACTTGCAGAGGGAGCATGGAGGCTTTAAGTTCTCACACATTTTTGCTAGCTATACAAGACTAGCCTATTGGAAGGACGGCGGAATCTTGGATCCTTCCCCTGACTGACTGTGACCTCTGTTAAACTCTTATCACCAGACTGGGCTACAGCTTCCTTCTCTATAAAATTACGGGAACTATACTAAATGGTCTCTTGGGTCTTTTCCGGCTCTAAAATTCCACAAAGCTCAAACACAGTGCCAGTTTAAATAGGAACATGGGGTGTACCTAGTACCAAAGACATTTATTTTTTCATCTTTATTTTTTTTATTTTTTAAAAAAGATTTTATTTATTTATTTATTTGAGAGAGAGAGAGAGAACATTTGCGCACAATCAGGGGGAAGGGCAGAGGGAGAGAGAGAAGCACACTCCTGGCTGAGCATGGGAGTCTAATGCAGGGCTAGATCCCAGAACCCCAGGATAATGACCTGTGGCAAAGGCAGACGCTTAACTAACTGAGCCACTGAGGTGCCCCTATTTTTTCATCTTTAGTTGTTGAACTCATACTATTTAGATATGGAGTCATATAGTGAAAGACAAACCAAGCTATTCTCTCTTCTCAAATATTCTGATTTATCAGTTATCCACAAAATTAAAATGAAGGGGCTTTGATATTAATAAGCTTTATTGTGTATAAGTAAGGATATTATGGGAGATAATCCACTGATAAAATAATAATAATGACGATGATGATGATGATGTTCTCACTTGTGTTCCTATTGATTTATGGCAATCTGTAAATCTGATTTGGAAAATCAGTCATATTGAAGTGTATTTACAAATAACTGTTCCTGACTGAAAATTATAAATGATCAATAAGCTCATGAAAAAGTATCAATATCCCCGAGAATCAAGGAAGTGAAAATTAAAGCAAAGAAATACAATTGTCTATCCCCCAAACTGATAAAGATTGAATGGAAGTGTGATTTGGCAAAACTTTCTAAGGGAAAATTTGGTAACATATTTGGAATTCTTTTTAATAAAAAGAAAACTTTATGAAAGCAGCTAAACTTAGCACCGATAACACCTTTTTTTGATGGTACATCTGAAGCAAGAGTTAAATATAAGCATAGTCTAATTTCATGCATTTCTGATTAATTATGACAATTCGAAGTTGCCCACTTCTTTTCCATTCATAATTCAAAGGGACAAGCCCTTGTCATGTTTTGTGCCTCTTACCTCCTTAACTTGGCATCAAGCTGACCCTGCCTCGGGCACCAGCTGGAGGACCCCAGTTGAAGGTGCCATCAGCTCCAGGTCCACAGACTTTCCTACTGAATGAGGGCTCTGACTGGAGTCCCAGCCTCTCTCTCTTCTCCAAGAGCGGGAGATGTGCAAGGTTGCATCCTGCCACCAGCCTCAACCACTCTTTCAGATCTTCTTCCCACACGGGACAGGATGGGACACTATTGTTGCTTGGTCTGAACAGATTTAAGGAGGTTTTATCAGGAAGACCTGAAAACTACCAGAGCCTGCCCTGGTCCTGCACGGCCCCTTCAGTTGAGGGCCATGGTCACCGAGAAAAAGGCGGAGGCTGCCTTAGAACCTCTTACCTCCTGGAGCAAGGAGCTTCCCTGAGCTGGAATGGGTCAGCATGGACACTACCGGAGATTCCAGCTTCACTTCGTCTAGGGGCAAAGGGGTGGGGGGATGGGGAGAAACTACTTAATGGGTGAGAGGTTTTACTTTGGAGGGATGGAAATGTTTTGGAACGAGATAGACGTGGTTGTTGTACAACATTGGGAATGTACTAAATGCCACTGAATCATTCACTTTAAAAGGGTTAATTTTATGTTATCTAAATTTCACCTCAAATTCTTTTTTTAAGTGAGTAGGGACTATCTTTGAGCAGTGGCATGATGCATGATTTCTCTTGTCATTTATCTGCATTTAAAAATTGCCAATTAGGAACCCTATTGTTTTAATAATTAGGAAAGAATTGTAAAAAAAAAAAAAATTAACCCCCAAGAGACTTACAATTTAAAACTACACTTGAAGGCAGCTGACAAAAAAGGCTAAAAAAAATCTAAACATCTTTCCACACACTTTGAGAAAAATACATCTTCAGAAAATATATGAAAAACAATATTTATCATTTTCATCTCGGTTCATTAACAAATTTCTTACCACATACTGCTTCCCAGAACTCTTTTAAGCAAAGAAGAATGGCAGCAGAAAAGTTCATAGACTTAATTTAGAGTGGGTGCCTTTTGGGGAAAGGAGAGGTGGTGAGAGGGCTCGGATTATTGGGACAAAAAGGTTAATTCAAATCTACTTTTAAGAAAGAAACAACTAGCCATTTGGAGGGTGAGAACCAAGTTCGCTTCGCAGCTGTCTTTGTTTTCCCTCTCTTTCTTCGCCAGATAGAGGATCGCGAGAAAGTAAACGCGCGATACTTTTTTGCTGACTTGTTTTAATCATAAAACTATTCCCTAAAGACGTGAGCTAGAGCAGTTGAGTTTTGGTTTGGAAAAATTAGAGAAGCAATAAAGGAGAAGGGACTGCACTTCTCGCTGCCTCTAGTTTTCTTCTGCAATGAGTTTCCTGCTTAAATGTGCCCGCAGTTTGTCCTCTTTCCTTCTGGGAAAATATGTGCAGTAGCAACTCTTTCAGGGGCCGGCTTTCCTCAGAGTGCACAGCTTGCTCTGTTGGGAGAAAACACATACCATCAGTGCCAGTCCAGCCCTCCTGTGGGAAACATTTTGAAGAACATAGAAGGTGTTGTTGAAAAGAATAATAGATCCAGGGTTTTTATTTTTCTAGGAGCTACTTACAAGAAAACCATAGATATCTAAAATGCAAAGAAAAATGATGGCTAAAAGTGTTTCTCAAAGTGTTGTTTTCGGACCGCCTGAATCAAAATGTCCTCATTATTGTCAAAAATACAAATAGCAGGTTTAATCCTAGAACCACTGAAACAGAAACTGTGGGAGATGAAACTACATTAAAAAAAAAAAAATACATGTAGGGGCGCCTGGTGGCCAGTTGGTTAAGCGGCTGCCTTCGGCTCAGGTCACGATCCCGGAATCCTGGGATGGAGCCCCGCATCGGGCTCCCTGCTCCTCGGGGAGTCTGCTTCTCCCTCTCCCTCTGCCCCGCCCACCCCTCCTCAGGCTCTTGCTGTCTCTCTCTCACATTCTTTCTCTCTCTCAAATAAATGAATAAAATCTTAAAAAAAAAAATACATGAAAACACAGTCTAAGTCAGAGGTCAATGAAGCATGAGCAGTGGACCAAATCTGGCCCACTTCCTGTTTTTATAAGTAAAGTTTTATTGACACACAGCCACACTCCCTCTGTTTCTTTTATACTAAGATGGCAGAGATAAGCAGTGGTGGCAGAAGCTCTATGGGCCTGTAAAGCTTAACTGTTTACTAACTAGCCCTTTGCTGAAAAAGTTTGCCACCCCTGCTTTAAGCCACTGCCTCTCAAACTTTAATGTGCATATAAATCACTCAGAAATCATTTGAGAAAGATTTTGACTCAGTAGATCTATCAGGGGGCCTGAGATTCTTTTTCTCTCAAATCTCCTATGTGAGGCTGATGTTGCTGTTTTGTAGATCACATTTAGTAGCATGGTCTAGAGTAGCTGTTCTCAGAATATGATAAATGTAAATTCTTAGCTCCATCACAAGCCTACCAGAACAGAAACGCTGCGGGTTGGACTCAGCAATCCATGTTTTATCAAGCCTTCCAGGGGATTTCTGATGCATTCCAAAGCTTGAGAACCACTTGTTCGGATTATCCTTATGTAAACTAAAACTATCTTCAAAGAGACTGAAATTATATGTTTATGTTAGACTCCATTACCATTGATTTTCCTAAACACAGTATATATTTGTTGCTCATAATAATCAGCAGGGAAGGAGACACATTGTATGAAATTGCCACCTAATGCCCTCTGATTTATTTCTTCCTTGTATATCCTGAATGGCAGCCTCAAATAACTAAAATTTTAAATATGTCTTCTTTGGTTTATTCTAGTTTAATTAATATTTGCTTTGGAGGGATCTTCTTTTTTTGTGCCTGCTCAAAATAGCTTCAAATGTCATGTCATTTCTAAAATGAACAACAGAGGGAGCTGGTGTTATAGTCCTAATCCATGAGGATTAGCAGAATTTTTCCTCTTTATTGGCCGAATCAAAGAAAGCACAGCCTCTTGACTCATTCTTGAATGAAATGTTATTGTTTGGATGTATAGTGCATGTGATATACAGCTCATTCTAATGCCAAAAAACTTGTATGATATGTTCTAAATGAGTGTAATCTGTAAGCAATTCTATTCAATTACTTTCAACATTCACACACCTTCTAATATGTTCAAACAGTTTCGAAGGTACAAGAGATTACTAAAACACAAATCCTTTTCTCATTAAACATAAACTTCTGGGGAGAGGGAGTATTAACAGAAGCATGTAAATAAATTTAATAATACAACCCCCTACTAAGATCGGAGAGGAACAGATAGATGCTTTGGCTAGAAGTGGTCTTTTGGGTACATAACATGAGTAGTCACAGCAGGAACTGAGCCATGTAGCACTGAGCTGAATGATGTCCCTAACCATAGCACTAGAAGTACAAACTAGTAATTGTAATTGTCCAGTTTGTCGACAAGGGAGACAATGTTTACAAAACGCAATGGAACGTATTCCCTGGGGTGAGGGACCAGCACACAGGAGACAAATGGACTATATTAGATCCTTGCCATCAGCACCACAAAGATTTAAATGGCTTTTGACTGGCATGGATTCAGGACTTGGCTTTGCTTATCTAGTCAAACAAATTAATGTTAATACAGCTAAAGGATTGAAATGAACGATACTATGTCAGTCTGTCCTACCGAGTGACATTTTTTCTGATCAAGAAAACCATTTTATGGAACATTCTGTATAATACAAAATGGCTGATTGGATTGACAGAATAAAGAGATAGTCAAAGTCTGATGAGGGTGTTATTAGTGAGAATGGAAAGAGAAAGAAAAACTGGAGAAATACTGTTTAGGTAGACTTTCAGGGTTTGATAATTATTTGGATACAGGGATATAGAAGTCAGTGGGTATGAAAATGACTGGTGACCAAGTGATGATAAGGTCTTGAGCATTAATCAAAAAATTAGAAAGCTAGTTGAGCTTGGAGGATGTGTGTCTGGGGATGAGTTTAGTTTTAGACTCTTTGAGCTGGAGGTGCTACACCACCTAGGATGTGATAAACAAGAGGCTGTTGGCATCACAACTTTGAGGTATGGAAGAAAGGTTTGGAATAGAAATAGAGATTGGGGTTACCTTCATAGAAATTTTAGGATAGCTTCGGGATATGATAAAAAGAAAATATATTCAGTCACAAATGTACTGATCCATTCAAATAACATTTACCAAAGACCTAACATGTTCTATGCTCTGGGCTACAGACTGATGGGTACAATGGCCAACTTTTTTGGAGTACTGATTATATGATAGACACTGCCTTGTGCTAAGACTGGGGCAGCAAACTTAGATGAAATTTACACCCTAATGGAAAGAGAGAGAAAATAAAATGAAGAAGTGAAATGTATACTGTTAGACAGTGATATGGAGAAAAGTAAGGCCTAAAAGCAAGATGGAGAATGTTAGACCTAGGGGCTTTCACTTGTGAACAGGGTGATCAGGGAAGGTCTTGCTGAGAAAATAACATTTGCACAAAGACCAGATGTGGGTAAAGGAGCAAGGATGTATGAGATGTATGGGAAACACATGCTCTAGGCAGAGCGGCATGTAGCGACAAGACCACAGTACAAATGCCCTGGGTTAGGATCATGGCCTGCAACACCTGAAGAATGACAATGACAAGAATGACACTGGAAGAATGACAAACCCTGACAAGAATGCTCAGGGTTTCTGCAGTAGAGTAGAGTAATAGGAGATAAGGTCACAGAGGTGACAGGGAACAGCTCATGTAGGAAGGACTTGTAGGCTGCTGACATGAATTTGGCTTTTGCTAAGAAGGAGAGAACCTATCAGAGGGATTTTCGTGGAGGAGTGACATGATCTGACTTATATTCTGTAGTATCACTCAGGCTTCCACTGGGAAAAATAAAGAGACAAGAACAGAATCAGTTAGAAGACTAATTTGGGTAAGAAATGACGGTGGCTTAGACCAGGTTAATAGCAGAGGTAGAGAGTGGTTGCATTCTGGATATATTTCGAAAGGAGACTGATAGGACTTGATTGATTGATTATGGGGTGGGAGAGAAAAGGGGTAATAAACGATCACTCCACCATGTTTTGCCCTGAGCAATTGGATGCATGGCATTATCATTGGCTAGGAGGGAGAACACCGAGATGAAATCTGTGGGAGGAGGGAAAGATCGGAAATTTTGTCTGAACACGGAATGGTGAGATACCCCTTAGACAACCAGGTGAAGTCATTCATGGAAGAGGCTGTTTTCTATATGTCCCCAGAGTTCAGGATAGAATTGTAAGCAGGAGATATAAATGTGGCAGTTGTCCTGTACAGATGGTGTTTGCAGCCCGAAGCAGATGAAATCACCAAGAGAATGAGAGCAGATAGAGAGAAAAAGAGCTCAAAGGCTAAATTAAATTGAAAATCTTGGAATATTCAACAATTAGAGTCAGAGAAAACTATAGGAACTAGTCAGAGAGGCAGTCAAGGAGTGTATACTAAAAAAAACATACAGAAATTAGTGTAAGTATGTTTATATTTATTACAGAGGGGGTTCAAAGGAGAAAAGAGATCGAGTCTATCAAACTCGTGAAGGATCAAGAAAGATTTGATAGACAAGGACCTGGAAGTGGGTGAGGATGTTCCAGGCACAGAGGGATGAGGTTCACAAATCCAGCTCATTGTGGTGGTGGGGGGGGAGGGGGGTCAATGAAAATGACTTTGAAGCCAGACCACCTGGATTTAAATTCTGGCCATGCACTTAATTACTAGCTGTGTGACATTGGCCAAATCACTTCAACTCTGTGGGCCTCAATTTCCTCATCTATAAAGTGAGGATAAGAATAGTACATATATCATAGGGTTGTTATGAGGATTAAATAATTTAATATTTGTAAAATTCTTCAATTATATAGCATTATATGTACTATACAGAAGTATTAGTTAAACAAATCAACACATGGAGATTTAGAGTTCTATGGAACAACTTGGGCATTGTAATGATTAGAGTACAGGGAGGGTGGGGAGAAGAAATAGTGAGTCATAAGGCTGGAGAGGCCAGCTGGGGCCAACTCATGGAGCTCTTCATATCGTAATAAGGCATTTGGGCTTTTCCTCTAAGCAACTGATCAGATTCATGTTTTTGAAACACCATTCTAGCATCAGGGTGAAGGTTCCTGAGTGATGAGGTAAGGTTAGAGGCAAAACGTGGTTAAGAGAGAATGAACTGGAGAGCATTAAAAGAAGGCAAAATCGGCAGTGCTTGGTCACTACTTGGATGTGAAGAGTAAGGCAAAAGGGAAGGACTCAGATGACTCCCACGTTCTCCGTTGTGTTACCGGTTAGCTGAGAAGGAACGTAGGAGGAAGAACACGTGTCTTTAAGGGAAGATAATCCTCCTGTTTTGTTAGTGCTGCGATTGAGTACTTCTGATATTCAGGCTAAGATGATCAGACCCTCTGGGCAGCAGAAGCATGGGATACAATCTGA